AGACTGTCAGTGTCAGGTTAAACAACTGGATGACCTCCATACAAGCAGAACTAGCGGTACTACACCTAGTTACCAGTACAAACAGGAGGAGGAATACTATCTTGTGATTCAAAGTCTGCTCTTCACACAATCCCTTTACTCTGTGAAGCGATTAGGGGAGCAGGTCGGCCGAGCGGACAGCACGCTGAACTTGTGATCCTGTGGTCCTGGGTTCGATCCCAGGCGCCGGCGAGAAACAATGGGCAGAGTTTCTTTCACCCTATGCCCCTGTTACCTAGCAGTAAAATAGGTACCTGGGTGTTAGTCAGCTGTCACGGGCAGCTTCCTGGGGGTGGAGGCCTGGTCGAGGACCGGGCCGCGGGGACATTAAAAGCCCCGAAATCATCTCAAGATAACCTCAAGATATCGAAAACTTCGGTTGCTTGAAGATCGACAGATCGACAGCAAGAGCCTCGAACTACCAATTATAAATGACCTAATCGCTGCACAGAGTAAAGGGTTTTGAATCTCCTTTTTATGAATACCATCACACACAAATATAACCCATCGTAATGACATATTACAGCCAAATTGGTGTGTAACAAAGATGAAGTTGAATTAGATCTAGGTATCCCCATCTCTGCTGTCAAAACTATATTGTTCCAAACACTCAGGTCTGATAGAGAAATTACTGACTCCCAACGACCTGAAAACACCAGTATAAAAAACTATGATTTGTTCAGATCTGAAAGCTATATTTATGGGCAGCACAAAAACGTGGACCAGACTGACTGTGCGACACAGTGGTTGCCAGGATCAGGTTGGGTTACCGTTACCTGTGGCAGGTGGCTACAGGTGACGGATCTCCCAATCCTCAGCACTCCAGGAACAAACTCTGAGAGCAGAAACTGTGGCATGATCTCCCACACTACATCACCGAATGAGATAGACCTTTCAGACCCGTTGGCATGAGGTACCTGGAGCTTTGCAATTACTTTATTCACTCTCGTGTTCTTGAAGACATCCTCATTACACACGGAGTCTGCCAGTGCAGACTACCGATCACATGCCTCTGTATCACTAAACCATCCTGTGTGATGAGAGATTAAAAACCAGCATTACGTAGCTACTTTTTATGACACTGTACTCCCCCCTTCATCTAGGGTAGCTGCACAAATGCAGATGTACCTAAATGTGTTGTTAATGATGATATTATTATTATTATTAAACAAAAAAAGGATCAATGTCCCCGCGGCCCAGTCTCTGACCACACTGTTAGACGCTACGCTCCATAACTTATGAATTACATCCCAATGCGGATTTTAGTTAGTTACACGATAGAGGGGAAAAGATGGAGGGGAGGGCAGGGGAGGGAAGGTTGGGGAAGGGGGGGGGGGAGGGAAGCCAGCAGGAAGGCAGTCAGCGGCCGGAAGCAAGGTCTGCCAGCTTAAGCAAGAAGTCCCCCCCCCCCCCGGCCCACGAAACTAACAATCTTCCAAAACAACAACTCTAATCTACGCTAAATTAGGCTCATTTCCTGCACACTGCCGCCGGAAACCATGTTGTCTCCTCTATACCAGTGAGCCAGGTCCAGTGGTCCACTGGTGGGGTAGACTCCCCACCAGGGACAGTGGGTGGGGAGGGGAGTCTACCCTGCTAGTGGTCCACTGGTGGGGTAGACTCACCACCAGAGACAACAGTGGTCCACTGGTGGGGTAGACTCACCACCAGGGACAGTGGGTGGGGAGAGGAGTCTACCCTGCTAGTGGTCCACTGGTGGGGGTAGACTCACCACCAGAGACAACAGTGGTCCACTGGTGGGGTAGACTCCCCACCAGAGACAACAGTGGTCCACTGGTGGGGTAGACTCCCCACCAGAGACAACAGTGGTCCACTGGTGGGGTAGACTCACCACCAGGGACAGTGGGTGGGGAGAGGAGTCTACCCTGCTAGTGGTCCACTGGTGGGGGTAGACTCACCACCAGAGACAACAGTGGTCCACTGGTGGGGTAGACTCCCCACCAGGGACAACAGTGGTCCACTGGTGGGGTAGACTCACCACCAGAGACAACAGTGGTCCACTGGTGGGGTAGACTCCCCACCAGGGACAACAGTGGTCCACTGGTGGGGTAGACTCCCCACCAGGGACAACAGTGGTCCACTGGTGGGGTAGACTCACCACCAGAGACAACAGTGGTCCACTGGTGGGGTAGACTCACCACCAGAGACAACAGTGGTCCACTGGTGGGGTAGACTCCCCACCAGGGACAACAGTGGTCCACTGGTGGGGTAGACTCCCCACCAGAGACAACAGTGGTCCACTGGTGGGGTAGACTCACCACCAGAGACAACAGTGGTCCACTGGTGGGGTAGACTCACCACCAGAGACAACAGTGGTCCACTGGTGGGGTAGCCTCCCCACCAGGGACAACAGTGGTCCACTGGTGGGGTAGACTCCCCACCAGAGACAACAGTGGTCCACTGGTGGGGTAGACTCACCACCAGAGACAACAGTGGTCCACTGGTGGGGTAGACTCCCCACCAGGGACAACAGTGGTCCACTGGTGGGGTAGACTCCCCACCAGAGACACCAGTGGTCCACTGGTGGGGTAGACTCACCACCAGAGACAACAGTGGTCCACTGGTGGGGTAGACTCCCCACCAGAGACACCAGTGGTCCACTGGTGGGGTAGACTCCCCACCAGGGACAACAGTGGTCCACTGGTGGGGTAGACTCACCACCAGAGACAACAGTGGTCCACTGGTGGGGTAGACTCACCACCAGAGACAACAGTGGTCCACTGGTGGGGTAGACTCCCCACAACAGTCAACAAACACCAGACAAGTTCAAATGTCACACGACGCCACACTTCAATTTTTAATTAAAGAATTACCTAATGTCACGAAAAGCCAAACCATTAGCTATCTACTGCCTACCTCGCTATTTTAAAGGATACCTGATCAACCGGGCTGTGATTCATACGTCAGGCTACGAGCAGCTGCTGCTGCTGCTAACAACCTGGTTGACCAAACAAGGCCTGGTCCGAAACCGGGCCGCGGGGACGTTGATCCTTGGAACAAACACTAGGTAAACCTCACAACCTTTTCTTACAGCTGTCTACTCTCAGTACGCGTGCGACCCATCCCCCTGAAGTGCCATGGGCACAATCAGAGAACACTGTATTAACATCAGAGGTCCGCGGTTGTTCAACATCCTCCCAGCGGCTACCTCGTGTAGCTTCCGGGAACCAACAGCACCCCCCCCCCACCAGCCCCCGTTTTAAGACTGTCAGGGGATGACATCAGTATCTAGGATCCGTCTCCAAAAGATGTTTAGGACCCGTGATAGTGGTGTTTTGCACTTACTGGTGCATATGGAATTCCACGAGTCAAGGCCTGGTGCAGAGTGCATGGGCATGCTGTCTATGGCTACTTCAAAGTCCAGTGGTGTTAGGGGTGACATCTGATGTGTGGTTCCATGTTGGTGTCGCATTCTTGAATTCATTTAGATCATCGATCTTCAAAGGAAATGTATATGTTTATCTCTCAATGTTTGGTAATATGTTTATTGCTTGTGATGTGTGTATGTATGTATTAACACGATGTACTGAACCGGGTAAGAATAGCTTGAGCTACCTCATCCCTTTGTGTGTATTTTACCTCAATAAACTTAATTCAATTTTCAATGTGGTCACGGGTTCGCTGAAAACAGAATCGTACTGAAGCAGCCGCGTCAAACAGCCTGGTTGACCAATCCAGCAACGAGGAGGCCTGGTCGACGACCGGGCCGAGGGGAAGCTAAGGCCTGGAAACACTTCAAGGTAAGCCTTAGTATTTCACTCATTTCTTTGTTGTCATCTGTGAAAGTTCCATCACCCTTGCACAAGGGCCCAATACTGGATAGTTTTTTTTTTTTTTTTTGGCAAACGAGAAAAAGTAATTCGGGTTCCTGTCTATTTCACTTGTAGCATTTTGCTCCTTTTGCCTCTCTTGGATTTTATATGATTCTCTCAGCTTCACCTCGAGCATTTGTATTTCCCTCTCCCTTTTATTTCAGAGATCCTTTACTGCTAGAATCCACTCAGTAAAAACATCTTAACTACTGGGACCGACTAAAATGCTTAAATCTGTATTCCCTTGAGTGCAGGCGGGAGAGATGCACAATAATTTACACGTGGGAAATAGTAGAGGGGCTGGTCCCAAACCTGCACACAGAAATAACATCACATGAGACCAGGAGGCATGGCAGGATGTGCAGAATACCCCCGTTGAAAAGCAGAGGTGCAACAGGTACTCTGAGAGAGAACTATCAACATCAGAGGCCCGAGACTGTTCAACACGCTTCCACTACACATAAGGGACATAACTGGCCGACCCCTCACAGTGTTCAAGAGAGAACTTGACAAACACCTCCGAAGGATACCTGATCAACCAGGCTGTGACTCATACGTGAGGCTGCGAGCAGCCTGGAGAACTAATTCACGAGGGAGATCTACCTTGTGAATCCTTACGTAGTTTCCGGAGGTGAACAGTCGCGCGGCCTCCCGGTTGGTCATCAGGTCAACCAGGCTGTTGGACGCGGCTGCTTGCAGCCTGACATGAATCACTGCCCGGTTGATCAGGTATTCTTTAGTCTTGTCTTGAAGTGACTACCGACACTTCAAGACTCAAGGGACAGATCAGTTAAGTCATGTACGTGAAAGTCTTACTCTGCCAAATTGGCCTTTGACCCCCCGTGACCTTGGCGACTGACGGACCCGGAGAGAACACATGGAGCACGAAATAGCTAATAACCTGGCCAACTTTTCAATTTCCAACCGGAAGTTAATCTGCAAGGTTACATGCAACAGGATCATCACGACCCGGCGTCGTCGCCACACCTGACCGAGGGCAGCAACCACCACCACCGCCACCAGGTGTCTACTGCACCACCTGCCATCTCCCAAACTGTTCCTTAACATTAAGGTGAAGGGTAGGGAATTTGCGGGGATTACGTCGCTTACTTGACACATTCCGGCGGGCTACCGGCGGTGACGCAACGCGCACCCCGGCGGGGACGCAACGCGCACCCCGGCGGGCTCCTGGCGGGGACGCAACGCGCACCCCGGCGGGCTCCTGGCGGGGACGCAACGCGCACCCCGGCGGGCTCCTGGCGGGGACGCAACGCGCACCCCGGCGGGCTCCCGGCGGTGACGCAACGCGCACCCCGGCGGGCTCCCGGCGGTGACGCAACGCGCACCCCGGCGGGCTCCCGGCGGTGACGCAACGCGCACCCCGGCGGGCTCCCGGCGGTGACGCAACGCGCACCCCGGCGGGCTCCCGGCGGTGACGCAACGCGCACCCCGGCGGGCTCCCGGCGGTGACGCAACGCGCACCCCGGCGGGCTCCCGGCGGTGACGCAACGCGCACCCCGGCGGGCTCCCGGCGGTGACGCAACGCGCACCCCGGCGGGCTCCCGGCGGTGACGCAACGCGCACCCCGGCGGGCTCCCGGCGGTGACGCAACGCGCACCCCGGCGGGCTCCCGGCGGTGACGCAACGCGCACCCCGGCGGGCTCCCGGCGGTGACGCAACGCGCACCCCGGCGGGCTCCCGGCGGTGACGCAACGCGCACCCCGGCGGGCTCCCGGCGGTGACGCAACGCGCACCCCGGCGGGCTCCCGGCGGTGACGCAACGCGCACCCCGGCGGGCTCCCGGCGGTGACGCAACGCGCACCCGGCGGGCTCCCGGCGGTGACGCAACGCGCACCCCGGCGGTGACGCAACGCGCACCCCGGCGGTGACGCAACGCGCACCCCGGCGGTGACGCAACGCGCACCCCGGCGGTGACGCAACGCGCACCCCGGCGGTGACGCAACGCGCACCCCGGCGGTGACGCAACGCGCACCCCGGCGGGCTCCCGGCGGTGACGCAACGCGCACCCCGGCGGGCTCCCGGCGGTGACGCAACGCGCACCCCGGCGGGCTCCCAGCGGTGACGCAACGCGCACCCCGGCGGGCTCCCGGCGGTGACGCAACGCGCACCCCGGCGGGCTCCCGGCGGTGACGCAACGCGCACCCCGGCGGGCTCCCGGCGGTGACGCAACGCGCACCCCGGCGGGCTCCCGGCGGTGACGCAACGCGCACCCCGGCGGGCTCCCGGCGGTGACGCAACGCGCACCCCGGCGGGCTCCCGGCGGTGACGCAACGCGCACCCCGGCGGGCTCCCGGCGGTGACGCAACGCGCACCCCGGCGGGCTCCCGGCGGTGACGCAACGCGCACCCCGGCGGGCTCCCGGCGGTGACGCAACGCGCACCCCGGCGGGCTCCCGGCGGTGACGCAACGCGCACCCCGGCGGGCTCCCGGCGGTGACGCAACGCGCACCCCGGCGGGCTCCCGGCGGTGACGCAACGCGCACCCCGGCGGGCTCCCGGCGGTGACGCAACGCGCACCCCGGCGGGCTCCCGGCGGTGACGCAACGCGCACCCCGGCGGGCTCCCGGCGGTGACGCAACGCGCACCCCGGCGGTGACGCAACGCGCACCCCGGCGGTGACGCAACGCGCACCCCGGCGGTGACGCAACGCGCACCCCGGCGGTGACGCAACGCGCACCCCGGCGGGCTCCCGGCGGTGACGCAACGCGCACCCCGGCGGGCTCCCGGCGGTGACGCAACGCGCACCCCGGCGGGCTCCCGGCGGTGACGCAACGCGCACCCCGGCGGGCTCCCGGCGGTGACGCAACGCGCACCCCGGCGGGCTCCCGGCGGTGACGCAACGCGCACCCCGGCGGGCTCCCGGCGGTGACGCAACGCGCACCCCGGCGGGCTCCCGGCGGTGACGCAACGCGCACCCCGGCGGGCTCCCGGCGGTGACGCAACGCGCACCCCGGCGGGCTCCCGGCGGTGACGCAACGCGCACCCCGGCGGGCTCCCGGCGGTGACGCAACGCGCACCCCGGCGGGCTCCCGGCGGTGACGCAACGCGCACCCCGGCGGGCTCCCGGCGGTGACGCAACGCGCACCCCGGCGGGCTCCCGGCGGTGACGCAACGCGCACCCCGGCGGGCTCCCGGCGGTGACGCAACGCGCACCCCGGCGGGCTCCCGGCGGTGACGCAACGCGCACCCCGGCGGGCTCCCGGCGGTGACGCAACGCGCACCCCGGCGGGCTCCCGGCGGTGACGCAACGCGCACCCCGGCGGGCTCCCGGCGGTGACGCAACGCGCACCCCGGCGGGCTCCCGGCGGTGACGCAACGCGCACCCCGGCGGGCTCCCGGCGGTGACGCAACGCGCACCCCGGCGGGCTCCCGGCGGTGACGCAACGCGCACCCCGGCGGGCTCCCGGCGGTGACGCAACGCGCACCCCGGCGGGCTCCCGGCGGTGACGCAACGCGCACCCCGGCGGGCTCCCGGCGGTGACGCAACGCGCACCCCGGCGGGCTCCCGGCGGTGACGCAACGCGCACCCCGGCGGGCTCCCGGCGGTGACGCAACGCGCACCCCGGCGGGCTCCTGGCGGTGACGCAACGCGCACCCCGGCGGTGACGCTGTTGAAACAACAGCTCGACACGTCCCTCAGCTGATTAAAGCTAATATTTGCTCTTGTTTACCATCAAGCGAAAGCAATGATTTGTGAAAACCAAAAACCATCATTCGCGTGAATACAACCATTCAACTTGACTTAGTACAAAGCCAGCGTCCATTAGGTCTATTTGTACACATTAAACAGTGGTTTACATCCTCGATGCTCAATCCAGGATCCCAGGTTCGATCCCAAGGGCAGAAACAGAAAAGGTTTGTTGCATCCGAAGGCGGCTAGTTTATTGTGCACCCCATACTCATCCTGTGAGCGGCAGCGCAAAAAGGGGTTACCGAGGGCACAAAAGGTGTTCACCAAACCTTAACGGATATTATTACATTAACAATTACATCTACCCTGCACGCCTTATAATTCTGTCAACGAGTTTCACACATTGTTCCATGTCAGTGGCTATGTATTTACAATTATACATTAATGGTAGGTCTTTTCCCTATTAAATAACTGTTCTAGCTATGGAGGTATTACACGGCCATAGGAAAGATGCTGTTATTATTATTAATTAGTAATTATTATTATTTATTATTATTATTATTAGACAGAGGTCATCCCCGGAACTCTCATATATATATTATAGTTGAACGAAAACATGGCTATCGATTGGCAAATACTGTAGTTCCAAGTGTACCACTTCAAGTGGAAGTGGAACAGGTGTTCCAAATGTCCCAAATCTCTGTTTCAAATCCTGTGTTCCAAATAGTGTAGATGCACTTCACCGTCATGTCTGTCACCGCACAGTATTATTGTTTACACTAGACAGACCTTATCACAGTAGTGAGACCAAGTGACGGACCTTATCACAGTAGTAAGACCAAGTGACGGACCTTATCACAGTAGTGAGACCAAGTGACGGACCTTATCACAGTAGTAAGACCAAGTGACGGACCTTATCACAGTAGTAAGACCAAGTGACGGACCTTATCACAGTAGTAAGACCAAGTGACGGACCTTATCACAGTAGTGAGACCAAGTGACGGACCTTATCACAGTAGTGAGACCAAGTGACGGACCTTATCACAGTAGTGAGACAAGTGACAGACCTTATCACAGTAGTGTGACCATGTGACGGACCTTATCACAGCAGTGACTCCCCCCCCCCCTGTAACTTATAACAGGGGGGGGGAGGGTTGTTGAGACTGGTGTATACGGAGGCGTGAGTGTGACCTGTGTCACAGTTACAAGACTGTGACAGGCTGCCACACTCCCGTCATTCACAACTAGTCTAAACACCCCTCTAGTCCACCATTCAAGAACAACGTACTCACTACCACCATCTGGGCTGCATCATTACTCTCCTCTACCCACAACCTTACTTGTTAACCACCACCACAACCACATCAACCACCACCACCGCCGCCCTTCACCTGAAGCAACCACAACTCCCACGTTCATTCACCCGGCTTCTACACAACCTGCTAATACTTTCGCGGTAGGAAACATTCGCGTTCATCTCCAGCCTTGCAACACCGCTCCCCAAGCCTCTCTCTGATAACCAAACACGCGCCCTTAAGGCACAACACACACACACACACACACACAACACTGTTCAACACTATTCCCCCCATTGCAGCTGTTTGCTAAATAAACGAGAACGCACGCACGCACACGCACACACGCACGCACAGGAGGGCTGAGAAAGTGAATCCAGGTCTGACACCCACCAAGGAGCAGTAACTGTAGGAATAATGCTACAGTTAAAACACACACACACACAGACACAGACAAATATGAGAACTATTAAAAATAAGTCTTTAAAGCGGTTGGTTTCCTTGCCATGATTTCGGGGTTCAACGTCCCCGCGGCCCGGTCCCAGACCAGGTCTTTTTTCGGGGGGGGGGGGGGAGTTAAGAGGATGGAGAGGCATAGGAGAAGGGAAGTGTAGAAGTGAGAAATATAGTGAGTTATGACAGCAGACGGGCTGTCCGCCTTGCTGACACGATATGTGGGTGTTAGCAGCTAAGCTAAGCTTCCTCTTGTCAGGAAGCTGTGAGTGTGTGAGAGGTTCTTCACATGTGTTTCACCATATATGGATGTCTATAGATGAATACTGTGTAGCAGTCAGGCTGAGAGCAGCCGCGTCCAACAGCCTGGTTGACCAGTCCAGCAACGAGGAGGCCTGGTCAACGACCGGGCCGCGGGGACGCTAAGCCCCGGAAGCACCTCAAGGTAAGGTAGCACTCATATATGCACACTCCGATGCTTCCACACGCATCGGGGAATGGGAGATGAAGTTCATGAAACGGACAGAGAGAAAGATCTAGCGGTTGATATCACACCAAACCTGTCTCCTGAAGCTTACATAAAAAGAATTACATCTGCGGCGGCATACGCAAGACTGGCTATCAGAACAGCCTTCAGGAACCTGTGTAAGGAATCATTCAGAACCTTTTATACCACATATGTAAGACCAATCCTTGAGTATGCGGCCCCAGCATGGAGCCCGTACCTTGTCAAGCACAAGACGAAGCTGGAAAATGTTCAGAGGTATGCCACTAGGCTAGTCCCTGAACTAAGAGGCATGAGTTACGAGGAAAGGCTGCGAGAAATGCACCTCACGACACTGGAAGACAGAAGAGTAGAAGTGCATTAGGAAGTGATGTGGTGGAGGCAGACTCCATACACAGTTTCAAATGTAGAGCCCAGTAGGCTCAGGAATCCGTACACCAGTTGATTGACAGTTGAGAGGCGGGACCAAAGAGGCTGAAAGAACATTTCGATGGTGTTCCACACCCTGATGGCTTGGTGCTGTAGTCTGATGTTTAGTGGTTGTATGTTCAGGTTGGATTTTTTTATCGTTGCCGCCGGAGGCGACTAGTTTATTGTGCACCACATACTCATCCTGTGAGCGGTAGCGCAAAAAGCATTACAGAGGGCACAAAAAGTCTATCAGACCTCATCTTAGATTATTACATTAACAATTTCATCTATCCTTCACACCTTATAGTTACATGTCAGCTAGTTACAGAGAATGTTCTATTTCAAGAGCTATATATTTACAGTAAGTCATTATACATCAATGATAGGTCTTATCGCTAATACATAATTGTTTCAACAATGGAGATATTACAGTCATTGGGGAGCTGCTGTTTATTATTAGTCTTTGTGTTCAGGAGTTCATGGAGTTCGAAGACTGTCTGATCATATGGTGGACGGTGTTTTGCTGCTCTCCTTAGTGCCTTCCCGCCAAACACACACCGAAACTACAACGTTGGTACAACGTTCGAACAAGTTTTACCACCACCTAACCAGTTATAACAACCAATATAGCAAGTTGTAACAACGTTCTAATACGTCATAAACACGTTAAGCCAAGTTGTTACAACTTTATTACAAGTTGTAACAACCGGAAAATAGAGACAGTTTCGGTTTGTTTCCAGGGTTATTTGCACTGCTTATAGTTTTTGCATGTTGGTTTTCTTTAAGGTGTGTAGTGGTACCTACCTTGAGGTGGCTACCTTGAGGTGCTTCCGGGGCTTAGTGTCCCCGCGGCCCGGTCGTCGACCAGGCCTCCTGGTTGCTGGACTGATCAACCAGGCTGTTAGACGCGGCTGCTCGCAGCCTGACGTATGAGTCACAGCCTGGTTGATCAGGTATCCTTTGGAGGTGCTTATCCAGTTCTCTCTTGAACACTGTGAGGGGATTGCCAGTTATGCCCCTTATGTGTAGTGGAAGCGTGTTGAACAGTCTCGGGCCTCTGATGTTGATAGAGTTCTCTCTCAGAGTACCTGTTGCACCTCTGCTTTTCAACGGGGGTATTCTGCACATCCTGCCATGTCTTCTGGTCTCATGTGGTGTTATTTCTGTGTGCAGGTTTGGGACCAGCCCCTCAATGGGTAGTGGGGGGATATTCTAGATGCGGCCGGACTAGAGCCTTATATAGCAGTATCTGTATGTTTGTATTGAGGCTTCGGAATCTCAGTTTCCTAAGGCTGCTTTGCCTTTGTTTAGTAGGACCAGGCCTCCTGGTTGCTGAACTGGTCAACCAGGCTGTTGGACGCGACTGCTGGCAGACTGACATGAATCACAGCCTTGATGATCAGGCGGTGGATGCACAGCGAACACTGGAGTAGCAGTAATACCAAGAGAGAATTCCACACGAGTCTTGACAGCTGCTCTAGGGAGAAAACCCCATCTCGGTTATTGAGCGATAAATACCTCAATACCACCGTTTAATTACCGTGGTCACCTTAACACTGACGCTGGACGTGGTACGTAGACTAAGGTAGTAAACTCTATGTCATGGGTTCGTATCCTGGCCGGGGAGGATTTACTGGGCGCAATTCCTTAACTGTAGCCTCTGTTTAACGCAACAGTAAAATGTGTACTTGGATGAAAAAACGATTCTTCGCGGCAGGGGATCGTATTCCAGGGACCTGCCCGAAACGCTGCGCGTACTAGTGGCTGTACAAGAATGTAACAACTCTTGTATATATCTCAAAAAAAAAAAAACTGGCGCTGGACAGGCAACGTAGAGTATGACTATCTGGATGTGGTTGTTCTATTCCCCAAGCCCAGCCCGAGGCCAGGCACGACTTATAAGAGCTTGGTCCAACAGGCTGTTGCTTGGAGCGGCCCGCAGGCCCGCAGTTACAATGGAGTTCGTTATCGGCTCACAATCGAGAATTCCTGATTCGAATCCCAGGCGGGATAGAAATGGTTAGGCGCGTTTCCTATCACCTGATGCCCCTGTCCACCTGGCGGTAAATACGCACCCAGGAGTTAGTCAGGCTGTTATGGGGTTGAATCCTGGGGAAGGGTCAGTGATTCGCCCATGGGGAAGGGGAAGGGGGACCTCGATATAAGCCTAACATATGGTGTACATATAAACTGGCTGCCTGTCCCCCGACACAATGAATGATTAGCAGGTTTGGTTAGAGACTGGGTCGCGGAGACGTTGATCCCCGAAATTTACGCAATGTCGGGAGCTTGGAGACTATGTCGATAGTTTAGGTGCTTTATCGGGTCTATGTCTGCCGTATACGGTCTCTGTATTCCCCGCTCCTGTGCCAGGTAAGTTACGGGCTCACCATAGACCGTGCTACTTGGATCTTGTTCCGAGTAGCTGAATCCATAATAACAACAACAACTCTGTATTCCCTCTATTTCAACAACCTCTTCTGTCCTGAAGGGGGGAGCGAGTACCAAGCAGTACTCAAGACGGGACAGGATACGTGATTTGAACAGTTTGAACATTGTGTGATGGGATCTTGAGGTTATCTTGAGATGATTTCGGGGCTTTTAGTGTCCCCGCGGCCCGGTCCTCGACCAGGCCTTCACCCCCAGGAAGCAGCCCGTGACAGCTAACTAACTCCCAGGTACCTATTTACTGCTAGGTAACAGGGGCATTCAGGGTGAAAGAAACTTTGCCCATTTGTTTCTGCCTCGTGCGGGAATCGAACCCGCGCCACAGAATTACGAGTCCTGCGCGCTATCCACCAGGCTACGAGGCCCCCCTGGATCGATCCCTGGATTTGAAGGTTCATCCATCCTATCATTTTCCTAACTAACGCTATATTTGCTTAGTTATGCTCCCTAAACGTTAAGTCTTCAAGCATCATTATTCCCAGATCCTTTACCTGTTGCTTTCTTGAGGTTATCTTGAGATGATTTCGGGGCTTTTTTTTTTTTAGTGTCCCCGCGGCCCGGTCCTCGACCAGGCCTCCACCCCCAGGAAGCAACCCGTGACAGCTGACTAACACCCAGGTACCTATTTTACTGCTAGGTAACAGGGGGCATAGGGTGAAAGAAACTGCCTATTGTTTTTCGCCGGCGCCTGGGATCGAACCCAGGACCACAAGCCCAGCGTGCTGTCCGCTCGGCCGACCGGCTCCCTACCATGGTCAGATGGTCACCATCGCTGGACACTACCATGAGGTAATTATTACCCTGAAGTCGACGGCCAGTGTCACTGACGGCGTTTATGAACCTGTTTCCTTTTAACTCAAATTTAATCGCATGATTCCCAGGTGCCGGAGTTAAGAGACGGGCGCGCTGCCGGACGTATGAGGCAGGGGCCGGCACAACACCACGACCGCACCACGCCACTGTCACCGTTCACACAGCTTCAAGCCACTGTCAGCGTTCACACAGCTTCAAGCCACTGCCAGCGTTCACACAGCTTCAAGCCACTGCCAGCGTTCACACAGCTTCAAGCCACTGCCAGCGTTCACACAGCTTCAAGCCACTGCCAGCGTTCACACAGCTTCAAGCCACTGCCAGCGTTCACACAGCTTCAAGCCACTGCCAGCGTTCACACAGCTTCAAGCCACTGCCAGCGTTCACACAGCTTCAAGCCACTGCCAGCGTTCACACAGCTTCAAGCCACTGTCAGCGTTCACACAGCTTCAACACACGCCAGCGTTCACAGTGTTCTAGCTAAACACAACATGACATAATCAACATTCTTCTGGTGTACACTAATGGTTCTCGCGAGTAACACTGTGTGGAGTGGACGTCGAGAGGTGTACATGTTCCCGGTATCTGACCGGGTCTCCTGGTTGGTGGGCTAGTCATCTAGGGAGTGTGTTCCATGCCGCCGCTGCTCGCAGCCTCACCTATGAGTCATAGCCCGGTTGATCAGGAATCTTTTGAAGGCGTTTATCAAGTTGTCTCTTAAACAGTGACGTCAGTCAGTTGTGCCCCCTCAAGTTGAGAGGGAATTAAGTCTTAAAAGTCTTAGTCCCTTGATGTATATACATATTTTGCACCTTTGCTCTTCAGTGGGGGTTATGTTGCACTTCCTGCCATGTCTCCTGGTCTCGCCTAATCATTTCCGCATGCAGATTTGGATCCAGTCCCTCTTAATATTTTCGAAGTATAAATTAATATGCATTTCTCCTATCTGCACTCTAGAGAATACAGATTTAGACATTTTTAGCACTCACAAAAAGTTAAATGTTTTATTTAATGTGTTCGAGCAGTAATAGATCTACATTCTCCAGGCCCACAATTTCTCCAGCTTTAAATAGGACCGCCATATTTAAACAGCAGATTTAAATAGCAGCCGCGTCCAACAGCCTGGTTGACCAGTCCAGCAACGAGGAGGCCTGGTCAACGACCGGGCCGCGGGGTCGCTGAGGCCAGAAATCACCTCAAGGTAGGTCATTGTGCAACAATATTCCACCCTAGAGAGCACTAGCGTCTCAAAGAACACCATATGCAGGCGATGAGTCACAATAACGTGGCTGAAGTATGTTGACCAGACCACACACTAGAAAATGAAGGGACGACGACGTTTCGGTCCGTCCTGGACCATTCTCACAATCGACTTGAGAATGGTCCAGGACGGACCGAAACGTCGTCGTTCCCTTCATTTTCTAGTGTGTGGATTGGCCAAAAAAGGACACCATCATTGGGTCTGGTATCTCTTGTTTGAAAAGTTCTTGTTATTTGTTGATAACGTTTGGTGTGTAAGTATGAACTAACAGAGGTCAGGGAGGGGACACGGAGAGGACCCAGAGGTCAGAGAGGGGACACGGAGAGGACCCAGAGGTCAGGGAGGGGACACGGAGAGGACCCAGAGGTCAGAGAGGGGACACGGAGAGGACCCAGAGGTCAGGGAGGGGACACGGAGAGGACCCAGAGGTCAGGATGGAGGTGTGCTGACCTCAGACACGTGCTCGGCCTATATATTTTAAACAATCTACAAGTTAATTCAGCAAGAACAGCAGCAACGCTGAATTCCCATTGGTCGAGCTGGGTGGTCGCCGGCTACAGACTACATACTCACGAGAACACAATGATACTGTGGTCAACAGTGGCAGCCATCAAACGCCACGCCTCTATTCACCTCTAGTTATCATGGTTACAAAATAAATTAACTGCCGAGGCATTTTGGACTATCCTTCACTACAACCCTTAATTCCTCACTTGTTCGAACAGCTTTATCCATTAACCTTTGTCACCTTTATAAACTGTCAGCCTGTGTACGTCATATCTGTTAAGCTCTTGCTAGTGAATAATGGTACTGTTAGCACTATTTTCTATGCATCGTGCGGTATCTCTTGAACAAGCATTTTAAATTGCCTACTAAAAGCCATGTTCAAACTGCGAACAGAAACCGGAGGTGATAACGCTCTGTGTCCAATAGGACCACAAAGATCATCCTGGCCAAGAGGACTTAATAGCTCCTCTCACTTGACCAGATGATGGACCAAGGAAAGCTGTCTCTAGCACACACACACACAGCTACGAGGAGAGACTACGGGAATTAAACCTCACTTCGCTGGAAGAGAGAAGATTTAGGGGGGACATGATCACCACATTCAAGATTCTGAAGGGAATTGATAGGGTAAATAAAGACTGGCTATTTAATACAAGGGGTACACGCACTAGGGAACACAGGTGGAAACTGAGCGCCCAAATGAGCCACAGAGATATTAGAAAGAACTTTTTTAGTGTCAGAGTGGTTGCCAAAAGGAATGCATTAGGCAGTGATGTGGTGGAGGCTGACTCCATACACAGTTTCAAGTGTAGATATGATAGAGCCCAGTAGGCTCAGGAACCTGTACACCAGTTGACTGACGGTTGAGAGGCTGGCCAAAGAGCCAGAGCTCAACCCCCACAAGCACAACTAGGTGAGTACACACCTGGGGGGCGGCAGCGGTGACAAGAGCGACCTTGGTGAGAGGTGAGGCGCAGGGGTAGACGTGAGCCAGTGTCGGCCAGCTGTGACCACACTCCTCCCTCACCCACACACCAAGGTCACCTACACACACACACACACACACACACACACACACACACACACACACACACACACACACACACACACACACACACACACACACACACACACACAACCTTCCTCACCTGACACACAGATCACACTAACGTGATGCATCACGTTAGTGTGATCTGTGTGTGATGATGATGTAAGGGCGAAGAGGGAGAACGGCCTATTGACATAGCTCGGGTGCAGGGGGGGGGGGTTATGTAAAAATCCTGGTTTGTGCCTCGGAGAGGCTACGGGATCCAGTAAGTTCAATAGAACTTCGGTTTCAACCCTTTTAACTCTGTCGTAGCTCAGTCTATTAAGGCAGTCTATTCGGGCGGGCGGGCTGGCTGCTGCTGCTGCTGCTGCTGCTGCTCCACGTGGCGGCGGCGTCTCTCCCTAACACTGGCACGACTCATCAATCACTAACGTGCCCACTTACGAAACATGTACATCTCTCTCTCTCTCTCAATCATAACTGCTTAGTTTGCATGTTTTAAAACAGTTTTCGAGCTCCGAGGAAGTTTTATGGGACAAGCCAGGGATAATAACTTTAGCTTGCCAATGAACAAATCTACAAGGGCCGTGACGAGGATTCGAACCTGCGTCCGAGAGCATCCCAAACGCTACCTTAATCGACTGAGCTACGACATGGTCAAGGAGTTGAAACCCAAGTTCTACTGAACTTACTGGATCCTGCAGCCTCTCCGAGGTTTATTTGGCTTGGCTTGCCAAATTTCAGAGCTGATAAACTGGTTACTATAGAGACTAATCTGTTATAATTGAAAACAAATCATGTTTCATTTGATAAGAGGTCAAAGGAACATGGCCCGGGAAATCCTTCAAAACACACACAAATCACAGTAGCGTGATGCATCAAATGAACAAATCCACAAGGGCCGTGATGCGGGTTCGAACCTACGTCCGGGATGATCCCAGACGTCCTTTAGTTGACATAACATGGTTAGGTTGCAATTCTTTTAACCATGTCGTGGCATAGTCGGCTAAGGCGCGTCTGGGATAATCAAGGCCCTTTGTGAATTTCTTCTTTTGAAGTCCTTCAGTAACCTTAAGATGTCAGAAAGGTAGTTACCCTTGAAACACAAACCGAAACTGTCTATTTTCCGCTTGTTACAACTTGTAATAAAGTTGTTACATGTTGACCAGACCACACACTAGAAGGTGAAGGGACGACAACGTTTCGGTCCGTCCTGGACCATTCTCACAATCGACTTGAGAATGGTCCAGGACGGACCGAAACGTCGTCGTCCCTTCACCTTCTAGTGTGTGGTCTGGTCAACATACTTTAGCCGCGTTATTGTGACTCATCGCCTGCAAGTTGTTACATCTTGGCTTAACGTGTTTATGACGTATTAGAACGTTGTTACAACTTGCTATATTAGTTGTTATAACTGGTTAGGAAGGGTTAAAAGTTGTTTGAACGTTGTACCAACGTCAGTGTCGGTGTGTGTTTAGCGGGAATAATAACTCACCACAAAGTGAACCAACTCTTGACATTCTTGGTACAAGTTCATCACAACTACAACAGGTCTTCCGGTCATCAGCCATCATCAGATAATACATACATTGAAAAAATTACTTTATTATATATAATATTATATTTTATGAGCGGAGTAACAAAACTGTATCCCAGGCATGATGGAGGTGCGGCCGGTCCTCGCTTCATTATAATTAGCTCTTATTTTTATTATAATTTAGATGAGGGAGGGAGGGAGGGAGGGAAAGGGGGGCAAGATAAGGGAGGGGGGGAGGGGGTCATGAGCACGACGACCCAGGGAGTGAGGGAGGCCAGAGCAAGGGGGGGGGGCAGCAGCAAGGGAGCGAGACGAGCGTGGAGGCAGGTGAGGCAGGTGGAGCGAGCAGTGGGCCAGGTCAGTACCATTGTATCCGGGAGGCTGGTGGCACGCCTACCCCCTCCCCCCCCCCCCCCTCCGGGGCACCCACCCCACACAGCCTGGTGTAGGGAGGACATCCCAAGTTAGGCCTTTGTCAGCCTAACTTGGCCTCCATCAACTTAAGCAAAGTTACATAAACTTCATAACCCAATACAAAACATTATGAAGATCTCGAGGACGCCGCCCAAGACTTCCAGGAACCAGTCCTCCGTGACCGGCTGGTGTGGGCGTCACGCGACTTCGCACGCTGCTTCTTAAGCAAGAGTTGCAGTTTTCAGCGAATGATAAATCAAGACTGGAACACCACGTTAGAAGCTCCCCGCACTATGACCACCACCAAGAGGAGACGCCCCACTTGAGGTTATCTAGAGATGATTTCGGGGCTTTAGTGTCCCCGCGGCCCGGTCCTCGACCAGGCCTCCACCTCCCAGGAAGCGACAGCTGACTAACACCCAGGTACCTATTTTACTGCTAGGTAACAGGGGCATAGGGTGAAAGAAACTCTGCTCATTGTTTCTCGCCGGCGCCTGGGATCGAACCCGGGACCACAGGATCACAAGTCCAGTGTGCTTTCCGCTCGGCCGACCGGCCCCACTGCCACACCCAGTATATATAAACACTCAGCAAACCCCTCACATGTACCACCACGTCACTGTGCTTACAAGCACTTTAAACCAACAATATTGATAAAAACACTAGTCTACAAATACGAACAAAGCAGGTACACAATCACGCACCGGAGGCACACACCCACGCACCTGAGGTATGCACACACGTACCGGAAACTTACACGCACATACACACAAACATTCGTATGTGCGCACACATTATGCTACCTAAGTTAAAAAGCTACCCTGAGGTGGTTCCCAGGATTAGTGTCCAAGGCCATGTTCAGGCCGCCTGGTTGCTTGACTGGTTCATCAAACTATTAGAAGCCGCTGCAGGCAGTCAGGTGTACGAATCACAGCCCGGTTGATCAGGTCCCTTTGAAGGCGTTTTATCCAGTTTCCTCCGGGAGTAAGGGAAAGGACGTGTTTACCTTTTCCTTGCCAATGACGATTACGTAATACTAGCGCCGCCTGGTCTGGGTTCTCCAGTATATTTACGAGGAGTGTTGGACGCCCTGCTGCTGCTGCTGCTGCTCCTGCGGTGGCGGCCTGCATGACTATCTCTCGGAACTGGAGGCGCTTGAACCCACAAGGAAACAAGGCACTATCTGTGTCCCGCTTGGTGAAGGCGGAGGCTGTAGTACTGTGCAGCGATGAGATAATGCCAGGAAAGTCTGGTGTTCACATAACCTGAGGAAATGTAGATGTTTACCTCAATATTTGGTAATAAGTTTATTGTTTGTGATGTGTTTATATGTATTAACACGATGTACTGAACGGGGTGAGAATAGCTTGAGCTACCTCATCCCTTTGTGTGTATTTTACCTCAATAAACTTATTTCAATTTCACATAACCTGCTACCCACTGGTTTATATGACGCGGCTTTATATTTGGGGCCAGTCAACTAGGGAGACACTGCCACCCAGGCTGACTCTCCAATATATGCAGCCTTTTACAGAGCCTCTCAGTGGGAAACAATTCTTTCCTCTCAGGTATATAGGATGGTGGCCGCTTGTACAAGCTGCGTACCACCACAATCTCCCACCAGACTGGTGTATGACTGTATACTAAAGTATACTTAAGGGTGGTCTTAAGGCCTAGTATTGTGGTCTTAACTCTTCACTGGGTGATATACCTTGAGCTCAACACCCAAACAGTTCGGGGTTGGTTGTGCGCGCCACCGTACTCGGCTCACCTTATCTTGAGGTGATCTTGAGATGATTTCGGGGCTTAGCGTCCCCGCGGCCCGGTTCTCGACCAGGCCTCATTTTTGTTATACATCCCCCAGGAAGCAGCCCGTAGCAGCTGTAACTCCCAGGTACCTATTTACTGCTAGGTAACAGGGGCATCAGAGTTAAAGAAACATTTTGCCCATTTGTCTCCACCTCCACCGGGGATCGAACCCGGAACCTCAGGACTACGAATCCGAAGCGCTGTCCACCCCAACTGTCAGGCGCCACCTTTACGAAGCTCCATCCCCCAAGCCTTGTGAATGGTCTCAAATGTTATAGAAAAACCAACTTGTGAACAATGTTCACTTCCAGCCACTGGACTGGTTGGTCAGAAGGCGTTAACATTGTCTTCTGGAGGGATTTGCCTGGTCTACAGTCACACAGGCAATGAGGTCGGCCATGTGTGCATGACTTAAGGCGTCTGATCACTTACCAACACTACCCTTAACCACTTCTAGCAGAGGTACCTGTTACATATCACACACAGAGATCACAATAACGTGATGCATCAAATGAACAAATCCACAAGGGCCGTGACGAGGATTCGAACCTGCGTCCGGGAGCATTCCAGACACTGCCTTAATCGATGCTTGATTAAGGCAGTGTCTGGAATGCTCCCGGACGCAGGTTCGAATCCTCGTCACGGCCCTTGTGGATTTGTTCACCTGTCACATAGTTTGTGACCTTCATTTGTGACTAATTGATAACGGGTTCATTGAGTCATGTGGACAAGTATTATAACGCCCATAACAGGTTGGCAATGTGACTAAGGGTTGGACAGTCAGAACAGCGCCCTTGTCTTATCAACAGAGTGCTCCTCAACGCTCACGGGTCAATAAACACAAAGTCAATGGGTACACGTCGCAGTCCAGCGAATTAGGCTCTTGCACCCGAGGAAACAATCAACTCTGACCTCTGTTATCACAACTCTATATACGACCCCAACCTAACGAAAGTAGAATATAATATTAGCAGGCGATGAGTCACAATAACGTGGCTAAAGTATGATGACCAGACCACACACTAGAAGGTGAAGGGACGACGACGTTTCGGTCCGTCCTGGACTGAATCGACTTGAGAATGGTCCAGGACGGACAGAAACGTCGTCTGGTCATCAATATAATATTTGTATATATATGGTGCGCGCGCACGAGGTATACAATGCCACTATGGCGTCAATGTTGATGCCCGATACTACAGGTGTGACACCCCCCCCCCCCCTGCAGGTGGAGAGGCCGGATATAACAAGGGTGTGGGGTGGGTGTAAGGATGTTACGGGATATTCATGCCCGTGCCACCTCTTGGGTGGCTTAATCTTTATCAATCGGTGTGGGGTGGGGGAAAGAAACCAACGTGAGAGGGAAGTGGGAATGAAAGTGGGGTGTACCACCACACCTGGTTGATACCTGGTTGATGGGGTTCTGGGAGTTCTTCTACTCCCCAAGCCCGGCCCGAGGCCAGGCTCGACTTGTGAGAGTTTGGTCCACCAGGCTGTTGCTTGGAGCGGCCCGCAGGGCCACGTACCCACCACAGCCCGGCTGATCCGGAACTTCTCTTAGAAAACCGTCCAGTTTTCTCTTGAAGATGTCCACGGTTGTTCCGGCAATATTTCTTATGCTCGCTGGGAGGACGTTGAACAACCGCGGACCCTGATGTTTATACAGTGCTCTCTGATTGTGCCTATGACACCTCTGCTCTTCACAGGTTCAATCTTGCATTTTCTTCCATATCGTTCACTCCAGTACGTTGTTATTTTACTGTGTAGATTTGGGACCTGACCCTCCAGTATTTTCCAGGTGTATATTATTTGGTATCTCTCTCGTCTCCTTTCTAGAGAGTACATTTGGAGAGCTTTGAGACGATCCCAATAATTTAGGTGTTTTATCTCGTCTATGCGTGCCGTATATGTTCTCTGTATTCCCTCTATTTCAGCAATCTCTCCTGCTCTGAAGGGGGAAGTGAGTACTGAGCAGTACTCGAGACGGGACAGCACAAGTGACTTGAAGAGTACAACCA